TAACGGCTACAATTAATTATCACAATATCACGGGTTTCCACACTTTACAAACCCTACAACAAGATCTCTTAACACGATCGTCACTTTTCTTCACGTACTACTAACGCGGGAGCTATACAAGTCTCCCTTAAATACACACTCCGGGTATAACCGTACTACAGCAATCACTATGTCTGGAAAGCACACAATAAATCTTCCGCTCGCTGACTTCTTCGTTATCGCACACTCGCAGGCTGCTATGTTTCAACTGATGATCACACTGCTGTAGAGTCCGCTTATATAGCCTTGCGCTATTGCTAGTGTGACGTGGCGTATAGCATAGGACGCTGCTGCTAGCATGACATCACCGCTGTTGATTAGCATTGCGTAGTTGCCAGGTTACGGGGCTCGGCTATCTTCGGCTCCGCTCGGCTCTCTTCGGCTCCGCTCGTGACGTCACCGCGCGTTGCGCATTGCGGGGTTACCGCTGAGGGGTGGGAGGGGAGCGCTGACTCACCCGCCGCGTCACTGCTGGTGTGGGGGGGGCGCGGATTTCGCAACATGTCACAGTATTGTTACTACGTGATCAGCAAAAACCTCTGAGAGAGAGAGCCGAAGGCTAACCCCAAGATGACGCCGAGAGGGTGTTGGTCGGTGGTGTGCTTCAGTATCGTCCTCACAAGTGAGTGGAACTACTCCGTATAGCCATGGACATTGAGCATGATAGTATTAAAATGTAAACCCCCAGGGATTTAGGAAGAATAATAGATGGACCAGGCTTAGGAAGGAAAGAAAGAAATTGAAAGGTCTAGAAAACCCGGAGCCGGGTGAAATAAGTGTAACTACTTCCGACCAAAGGAGTATGTATCTAAGTGTAATCTACCCGACAAACGAAGGCAGTGACTGTGTGTATATATGTATATAGGGTTAGACGAATAGAATAGAATAGGAAGAAATGTGTAAAGTCAATGGAACTCTCATCCTTCACAGCACGCACCTTCCCTTGTGGATCCTGCATCCACTCTAGCATCTCCGAAGAACAGCGGACCCGAGCCAAAGTTGCAGATGTTTAAGTGGTTAACGAGTTACTTAGCCCCCCCTTTTATGACAGAACAAATTGGTGGCAGCGGTGTGATTAGCCAACGAAGAGTTGGCTGACGAAATAATTTAGTATTTTCTTTAACCTCCCCTGTCATCATAGCATTACACATGCAATCTCATTCAACTCTGTTTTCTCTCTGATGATATTATGAGTACTTTCAAATTGACTATAACATTGCCACATACTTTTCAGCCTGTGTCCTTTCATTACAAGGAAAATGCCTATGGTAACATCATATTCGTGTGTCTGTTCCTCCATGTGTATATTTGTTTGTCTGCATACCTTTCAAACTGATGGATGAATTTTATGAGTCTTGTTATAAACATCGTGACACTGGGGGATACTCCATACCTGAAATTTGTAATTGCTTACTGTTAACTAATAACATGGAAGTTGCATGATTTTCCTATTTTCATGTAACACTTGTGCCTTCGAAGATGAAACTACATGGAATCAAAAAGCGATTTTCCTTGTTTGGGTCCTACATGTTCAAACTAAAAAATGGTGATGTCGTGAACCTCTAGGTTATGTCTGACAATTGAAGGAGAAAGACATTATGGACAAATATAAAAGTGAACTGTATAATTACTAACTGATAATGCCTGCTATCCTCTCTGTGGGCATGAATGAATCAGGGAATTAAAACAAGACAAATACAAGTAAGTAAACAAACAATGGAGAAGTTTGACATGAAGAGAAACAGTCTCAAGGAACTAAATAAGATGGAAGGTAAAGAATAGCATCTTTGAATGGTAATTATTTAAGAATTATTCCATGAAGACATGGGGGAGTGTAGGTATAGCACCAGCATTCTTGATTTTGGTACTAGATAGAGGTAAGTGGTCAGCTTCCACCCTGGTCAAAGAGCCCTTGGTATCCATTGGACAGGAGGTTGGTTGGGACCCAGAGTCAGTCTGGATGCTGTGGAGTAGAGAAAGATCTCTCGCCTCTGCCAGGAATTGAATCCTGACTGTGCAGCCAATACTATTCTGACCAATCTATCCCAGTTCCCCAAATAGTTTCATAGCTTTAGAAAATTAAGGTGGTGGCAGCGGCGTGGGTAGTGAAGGTGGCAGTGGCAGTGGTGGTGGTCTTGATGATGGTGATGATGATGATGATGATGATGATGTGAACAAGGCTAAGGAAACAACTGAACAGAGCACAAAAACTTCAACCGAAGACAGTCTAGGCTACCATGAACTGAAGCAGCATAAGCAGTAGTTTAACAAAGGATATGCAAAAGTATTACATCTAAAAAAACAAGCCAATTTGCAATGCATGTAGAATCCAAGCCATATAAATGGGGATAATCTGAAAAATGTAAGATGTGAAGCTAGCAGACATTTCCAGAAGAGGAAGAGGGAATATGTAAAAGAAAATATTATTGAACTTGCCACACAACAAGAATATTAGAAATTTATACAAAGGAATAAATTAATTTTAGAGTGGTTTCTAACCTAGAATTAACTGGCAAAAATCCAGTAATTCCAAGTGTTATACACTATTATCAGAATTGTTTAGAATCTAGAAAGTAAGCATTGTAAGTGTGTGAACTTCTTGTCATCTTCCATTTGTCTTGAGTATCTGGAAAAGTTTATGATTTGCTGCATGGCATACTTACCTCTTGTTATAATTGGGGTTTCATTTTCCTTCAATCTTCTGAGTCCATCATTTCTTGAGCCACACAGCGCCAGAAATATGAGACCAAGAGACCCAAGTCTATGAAAGAGAGATATAAAGCAATATACACAAAAACATTGGGGTTTTCATTGCACATTGGGAGATTTTCATTGTCTGTGTACACTTTACATCAAATGCTACATAAGAATTATATGTCAGTATTAATTTTCACATTACTTGAGACCTTGTTTTGAACACATTTAAATTACAGTAATTTTTTTAGTTTTTGAGCACTTTTCAATAGAGTGTATCGAATGTATGAATGAAGGGGTGTGTCTGTGATCTCTAAACAATGAATGAATTCAGAATAATTTCTTCATCGTAAATGTCTTCAAACTAATTTCTTTTTTGTTACTACAGGTCAGTTATAATTCTTATTCTACATTAAGTGCAAATCAAACTTTATCAAGTTTCTCAGTAACAGTTCATCATTCAAAAAACTGATATATGACCTAAGCACTGATGTTCTCAAGATCTGTAACATTCATTTGATATATTTTTAAATCTGAGTACTTATAAAAATAAGAGGAATGTAATTCATGTGTAATTTTTTTTAATTCACATAGTGGGGGGTGGAGTCCAGTTGGGTACCCTCGGCACAGCGGCCACCTGCCCCGGGTGATTACGATGGAGAATTTTGTGGAATGAAGATTGGCAGGGGAAATCGAAGTGCTCGGAGAAAACCTATCCCAGCGCCACTTTGTCCACCACAAATCCCACTTGACCAGACCCGGGTTTGAACCCGGGCAGCCGTGGTGGGAAGCCAGTGACTAACCGCGTGAGCTATGGCGCGTCCTAATTCATGTGTAACACATGGTGCCATGTGTATAGTGACTGAGTTTATGATTTCATACAGTGTTATACCTGCAATACTGCTTACTCCAAGAACATTAGATTTATATGTGCAATAAATTAAAATAACAAAGAATGATGGATATGAAATACAAGCAACATTTGGCAAGTATATGTAATAGGAACCGCTGTCATCTTCCTGTTGTGTTAACTCACACTGTAAAAAAATGAGCTGCATTGTATGGAGGCCCGTGTTTGGACTGGCATTTCTGCTGATCCAGCTCCACTTCAGCTGTGACACCAAGTTTCCTTGCTGCATCATTAAGGGAATCTTCAAATCCTTTACTGATGTCTGAAACTGAGGACTGTGCTGGTACACATAACCCCACATATAACAGATCTCGACGGAAGTGGGTCTGGAGTTTGCTGACTTCCTGTGGTTGCATAAATTGCTTAGAGAGAGACACATTTACGATTCTGAAATTATGACATACACCAACACTCACAATCATACGAAGGCTAATGTATATAGATATAAGTAATTAAGTCTCTAACAAGGGCAGCACCATAGCTCAAGTGGTTAGTTGCTGGCTTTCCACTGCGTCGGCCCGGGTTCGATCCCAGGTATGGTCAAGTGGGATTTGTGGTGGACAAAGTGGCACTGGGGCAGGTTTTCTTCAAGTACTTCGGTTTCCCCTGCCAATTTTCATTCCACCAATTGCTGCACAATCACCCTCACCTATCATCTGGGGTTGGTACAATAGGCCAGAAGTGGCTGCAGTACAAGGGACTTATTCCAACCCCACTAGCAATAAGAAAATCACTAAGAAATTATCTAACTAAATAACAGGTTCTTATATGTAGTCTGGCATAAATCTCAACTGTACAAAACTTCCTACACAGTGGGGATACTCCTCGTGTAATACTTTCAATGGCTCACAAAAAACACTAGTACATATTCTGAAATTTTTAAGAATAATTATAGGCAAATGCTTCCTTATAGTGACAATAAAAACATACGCTTCATTTATATATGGTGCATTGTGTCTGTGTAAATCTTGTGACATGATTTAGACTATGTGCCATGGTGACCACAGGAGGTTTGACAATGCTTTTAACTGTGAACACTAACAGGAACTAACAGCTACTGCTCTCCGCATTCCAAGCCATTGAACTGCTCTGAAGATGGAGGCGCTACGTTCCTCCGAAACGTCGGCCAAAACGAAGAATACACGGTGCCTAAACCCAGAAGACGACTTTCTTCACTAACAGGAATTGTTATTATAGTAGCAACTTTCTCAAAATAAGTGAGTTATTTGCAGGTATTATAGTAAGACAGAGGCTATGAGTTGTGTCATTACATACTTATTTTTGGAACATACCAGGCAATATATTCTGTTGGTTGATAACAGTATCATAGTTAATTCCTCCTTTATTCTACAATCCTAGATGTCTGATATCATGCCATCCTATTTGAATTTCAAACCTACTTTGGAAATTTTTCCATTATCTAGAATACAATAGGGAACATATGGGGAAGATGTTACCTGGGCTATCTTCTGTTCTGAGAACAATAGTAATGGTGGCAAGAAATCATTATTTTTAGGCATAACAACTTCAGGAGGACAAAACATGGCCCAATCACTATGGATCTGTCAGAAGTAATTCCTTTTGCCCAAGAGAATATGCCACATGCATGCCTATTCTTCGATGCATGGGCTGGGATTCCGTTAGGGTGACTTGTCTCTTGGGTCCAGGATACCAATAAATAGGATCATCATAAGTTCTTTTTGCATCTGCGCAAAAAGAACTGTACCAAAAAACTGACGTTAACTACATTCTTAGATTAAGATCGATCAGATTATGATGTGAGGTTCTCACAGTGATGGTTACAAATAGAGTAGCTCTTAAATACGTATAACAGACTACGCGGCTTTGTATCCCAGACGACAGTACTCTTCAGATTACGTCTGGTTATGTTAGGTTAGGTTAGGGTAATCAAGAACGTCACTCTTTTGTAACCCAAACACGCAATACATGCTCATACTATCTGTATACACGGCACGCTTCTTTCATGGGTTGAAAAGTATCGTAAATATACAGCAGGCGAAAGGATGCGAAAGAACATAGTTGTTTGAATGTTTCGGAACCCTTTTTGCCGTTCGGTGACTATCTACAATGTAAGGAACGTTTGCATTCGGTATCTCGAATAACGGAAAAAGGACCCCAACTTTAAGCACTATAAGAAGACCATAGCTACTTGCGATGTAGATATATGCCAGTAAAATTTCTAACTACATAATAACTAACCCACCTCAACATACTTCTTATTAATATTAAATTGCAGCATCCTGTTGCACTGCATAGAATTGACTTCGAGTTCCGCTTGTTTGCCGTCTATGTGCAATGTCGGTTAATATTCTCTCGCCTGCTCTTCATTGTCACTACAGGTTTCTGCCTAACCGGGCGTCATCAGGTGTACACGATGTGCTGCTCACTGTGGAACGGCTCTGCTTCTCTTACGTAGAGCAGCAGATTCCCCCAGTAATTTCACGCTACTCATAATATTACACCAAATCCTAGTACAGACACACCAGGACCACGAACGCCTAGGCTGGGGCCACACGAACGCACGAAGTGCGTCCGTTGCAACGAGAGCACTTTATGACGGACGTTGCTGAGGACACCACACAGTTGTAGAATGCGGTGCGTAGTATTTTGTCTGCAACGGAGCCAGAAGAAAGCGTAGCATTCGCCTCTCTTGTTTATTTATACAATCACCAAAACATTTCTTATCCAAACATCTGAAACTCAAAAGATCTTTCATATGACGTCTACCTCGCCACGACTCGGAAACTAAACATTTTAAATCAGAGCTAAAGAAATATCTGCATGCTCATTCCTTCTACTCTGTAGACGAATACCTCAATGTAAATAGAGAATAATGTAGAATTAAGCTATATTAGTTTAAGATAAAATTACTTGTACCAGTAGGTACTGTTTTGACTTGTTCTATATCCAAAGGTATTAACCTGCTTAGGGTTTATGGAATGCAAATAAATTCAATTAAAGAAAACTTCATTTCCATTATTTCTCTCACAATATGACCACTCGTCGGCTCCTTCTTCCAACTAGAACTCAGCCATCAGGATTAGAACCAGGAACTAGTCCGACCAAAACTGGAGTTCTTTTCAACATAACCAGAACTAGGCCACACATTCCTCAATGATTGAAATTAGCTCTATCTAAGGGGCCCAACTGAGTAGGTGTCTTCTCCCCTTTCACATGAAGACGGAAACAGATTCACTTTGCGAAACGTCGTGTTTTCTATTCTCTAGAATACCGGGCGGTGGAAAGAGTCCCAAAACCCAGTAATTTTGTGTCTCATAATCCTGTGACTAGAGCCACTGGTACTTTTATGCGTCAATCAATATCTGATTCATTCTTAAAATGGCACGGTAAAGTTGTCCCTTTGCTTAGCTAATCGAGCACTACGCCATGAAGACGTATGGGAGAGTGGATGTACTGATACACGTTTTCTTGACCTCGGCACTAGTTGGAGGTGAGTGGTCAGCTTCACGCTCCTTCCGCTTTACCCCTGGAGAAAGAGCCACCGGTCGCCTTTGGATAGGGCGCCAGAGCCGGTCTGGACGACGTGAAGAAGAGAATTGTTTCATTTTGAATTGTTTCACTTTTGGTCCGTTACACTATCAATCACAAAGTTAACAGAAAGTCCGTCGAGTGTAACAATTTGTAGGTCACTTCTTTATCACTTCTGCCTTACATGTTTCGGTTAGACACAACCATCATCAGAGGCACTTAGTACAATTAAGAAAACACTGTCGTTGTTTAAGATGTACACAGTTATGTTTGTTGTGTGGACACTGCTACAATATGTCGACGTGTAAAAGCACAACACTTGCTAGGATAGTTGAATGCACTATCAATTCTCACCTTCCATCCGAAACTGCCCTCAAGTTAAAACGCCAATGTTAAAATATTTAAAAAATTTAAAACATTTGATGTGAAATGTTAAGCTCCTCCTTGTTAATTTATCCCGAAGATGGGAGATGTCAGCTTGAGGTTGTATGGCTGCAAAGATATTGTATTATATTAGGTTTTATATATTATTATATATTTAT